CGGATTCGAACCCACGACCTTTTTGAGTTCGCGGTCCACGCCCTGCCATTAGGCTACTGTCGCTTCGGGACTTATCGAAGCGTCTAGGACTGGGGCCATTTGTATCTTTATGGATATATTTGCCAAAGTTGCGCTTGACAAGCGGGTAGGCAACCGCATTTTTTATTATTTTGTTGTTATCAGGAAAATGCGGCTGCCCATATCCTGGTTTAATTTCCATCTGCCGTTTATTAGGACACCCACTGGATGATATGGGCTGGTAGATATTCGTACGCTGACGCCACTCGGCGATAGTTGGAGTGGATGGAGTGATGACCTGGTAAGAAATACAGGAAGTCGACGGTGCAGTATTCCTTGGGAGGCTTATGTACAGCAGTGGACTTGTGAAGGGCTTTAATGTATGAATGAATGAATATCTTTAATCTTTTTGTAGGATGGCAGCAGAGTTAGCGGTAATATCGACATGACAGATATTAGAAAAAGCTTATTAAATGAACTTAATCACGTAACCGTGCATAGGTACGTTCAATTCAATAACTTTTTAAATGTATTGCTATATTTTCAGCCTTATTAATTTGTTCAGTTTAACTTTCAGAATAACAGCGGGCGAGGAAAATGTTTTATTTCATTTTTTACATCTCGAATCCGAAAAAGGAGTTTTAATAGCGCCCATGAAAAGTATCGAAATACAAGCTAATAATATTTTATACTCATTTATAATAAGAACATTCAGATCAGCTTGTAAAAAGATACACGATTTATTGCAGTATAGTATAAAGTGAGGCAAATTGAATTGCATATTACATTTATTTTGTCATAGTGACATACAATAAAAAATGTATATTTGTTGTAGATTTAAGAAGAACCATGCTCCTTCTAATCCACTAAACAAAATTCTTGTCGCCGTCAGAGAGCATGGAATGTTGTTTGAAGCACCACAACACGTGTTGAACCAGTGCGGCATTAGCAAAAAGAACACCGAGCCATTTTTATTTTGGGTTGTCGGGTATGATATTTTCATTTCAAATATTAAATTGTTTTCAAACTTTTGTGATGTATGATGTTTTATTAAGATTCATATTTTAATATGAGAAGTTTCTGGAACATTAACTTGCATTTTGTTTATGCCGTATTTAATACATGTAGTATACCTAACATTAAACTTACACTGTCTAATTCACCTCTAATTACCTCCCTTCACATATGGCTTGGGGGACAAACTGTGCTATATATATTTTTTTATATATTTTGAAAAAGAATATTAACAATGCTATAAACATTATATAATATTCCCCTTAACCACTCGTGGTAAGCTTAAAATGCTTGTGTTACGAATGGTTCACGCCAGTAGTCAAATGGCGGATTCGAACCCACGACCTTTTTGAGTTCGCGGTCCGCACCGTGCCATTAGGCTACTGTCGCTTTGTTTGCGCTGCTATGTGTGTTATTTATGCAATAATATACAATGTGAAAAATATACAATGTGTGCTATTTGAAATCGGCCTATTATGAGTGCAACTAATTTTTACCTTCATTGTACCAATTGACCAACAACCAACAATTGAAACAAAAAATTGTACCAAATGAAATTGATAAAAAAAATTGAAATACAAACTTCTACGGACTTTGCTATACGGCAAACATTTAACAGATATTAAAACAGCTAAATCTATATTTTGCGTATTACCATTGTTTAATAATTAGGAGATTCATGCCTTTTTGACTTTGAGGTATTATTTGTATGAATAAAATCTTTATTTTATTTTTTTAGGCGAGTTTTTAGTGAACCAGAACCTAGAGAGCTGTATGTATGCTATCACGAATCCGTACCTCAAGATCTCATCGAAGTGGCACATTTATTATCATATTTGGAGTGACGAACTGAAATCCTCAAATTTTATGCTTTGGATATCAGGATAGGTCTAAGGTCTCAGTGGAAAACATACGAAGACATGAGGCGTAGCGTAGAACAGCGTGTGTTCGGTAAAGCTCTGTTCCGCCGCCTTCTTTCCACTGAAGCTGTACGCAAAGGCTTGAGTAGAAAGATTTTGGCAGGCCGGCCGTGTTGCGTAGCGTCGCACTGGTTATATAATTTAAGCGTATCCAACTGAAGAAATTATAACAAAAGCTTGTGTTTGACTGGACGACGAATGCCTCGATATGCCACTACGCTCGTCACTCAGTCTCTAAATGTATGAAAAAGATTGTTGGTACTTAACTATATTATTAGTTAAAAATATTCAAAACTTAGTTAAGGTTATGAGATGTTTCAAAACGGGCCAGGTCTATGTACACTGCGTCAAAAAAGAATCCTTATACGTTTTTGATAAAAAGTTAAGGTTGGAGCTAAGATTGACCTTACCTTTTTACCAAAAACTTTTTTTTAAAACCTTTTAATAGGAGAATAGGGTTTATTTATGAACCTCATAATGAACAATATTGAAACGCTTTCAGAATCGTTATGGATTTTTGTGATTACAACTTGAAAATATAGTGCGACGATTGAATGATGTCAAATAATGCCCATTATTTGATTTTTTGGCCGAACTAGGCGACATTATAATACCTAATAAATAACTTTCACATTAATGATTAGGTTGAACTTCATTGCTTTTTGAATGACACTATGATATTTATATCGTGCGTTGTAAGTGTAAATGTAAATGTTTTGAACCAGCAGACAAAACCATATTAAATTTGATAATGATAATTAAAACTGATCTTTGTTTGTTGTTACATTTTGAAACATCTCATCTGGGAATATTACGTTTATGTTAGTTTTATTACTTTTTATTTCAATCGAGTTCAAAGCTTTTCAGAAACGTGCCGAAACTAACAAGATTTTTTTTAAGTCTATTTTATTAGGTTAATTTAAACGTATGTATATAAATTGAAATAGGTTATGTACAATTTGTTATAATAATAGGATGTATAAAATGCAAAAGTATTAGTATTGAAAATTATGTGGCGTTTAATTTTAAGTCTGATAAAGTTAAGAAAAGTATTTTTGAGCATTTATCAAAAACGAATATAACAAACAGTACGTGATCACTACGCTACAAAAAGGAAAGCAACTTAATGTGATAGTATATTTTTCGTACGTTTTTGATATATTTTTTTACATTTGAGGTGATATTTTATGCACGGAATATAAAAAACAAGAGGAAGTAGCAAACGCATAGTTTGTATCAGAACCACTGCCGCCAAACTCCGAAATTCGCAAACAAAAGAAAGGTGTAACAATAGTTGTTTACCATTTAATTATTTTCGCACGACTGCCTTTTAAAAAATAAAAGAGAAAGGCTTTATGTTCTACTCGACTCTATTCGCCATTTACTTGAGTACGAAGTTCTTAAAAGTAGAGATTACATTCCTTTTATCAAAGAAGTTCCAAAATTAACGACCGAATTCAGTTTCGTAACTATAGATGTCGCTGTAATACCGCTATTAGTTTGAAATCGCACCATAAATAGGTACTAATAGACGGGCAAGAACGCGAAAAGTAGTACACTGCTTCAAAATTGAGCTTTAATATTTTTTTGATAGAATTTCCTTGAATTTTTCACTTAATATTATCTCCAATAATTCCTTTTTCCGAAAATCGTAAAAGTTTTCTCCTAAAGTGGTTATTTTGTGAGAAATTTGCAAATTTCTTAAAGTAGGTTAAAATATTAATCCTGTTCGTTACCGCTGGTTTTTGGTTCATTAGTATAGTTAAAACTTAAATTGTATGCAAATATTATTTATTGAATTAAAGAAAACATGATTTTTTTATTTATAAAATGTATTTTCAGGTTGATAACTTAGAAATACACGAGATTAATCTACTTTTCCTGTCCTGTACGTTACTAAAGGTGTAAAATGTATCCAAAAGTTTTTCATAAAATTCACAAAATTAGCGGTTCTGATATTTAACTATTTTAATTTATAGTATTTTGATGAACTACGTTATTTCCTAAAATAATGTGTGTACATATTTTAAACCTTCTCAAATAAAGTCAACATTTTTAGCAACATTTGCTTAGGGTACAGTCTCGTAACAGGACATGCTAACAACGAACAGGACCCTGTAAGGTTGAGTTCACATGCCGCTTAATATTAGGATACACTTTGGGGTGGGTGGGATCTACCTCCTAGCGGTCCACCCTGGGCAACGTCAACACAATTTGTGATGGCGGTTAAAGATCCCAAAGGCAGTGGTAGGCCCTGAAAGGGGCCGCCTGGCTCGCGACCACCATCCCACCGGAGTCCGGCGCCAAGCAGCTCTGCTGTATTCTGTCGGTGTGCGGGAGTATCAGTGCCTTCTGGGCAAGCTTGCTCCATCGCAGATCCCATCTCTGCTCTAGGGCAAGATTGGGGTCAAGAGCAAGCCCATATAAAACAAAAAAAATAAAAAAAACTTTTTAAATATTTAGTATGAGATCGTTACATATAATCAATTATTTTAGTTTTAAACTAGAACTTATGAATAAAAAACGTTTAGGTAACTCGTAGAAATAAACATGGATCGATAATATTATTTTTTATTTATTTATTCTAATTCAAAAATTTACTGCCCCGTCATGCAATTTCAAAGGAGATGTATAAAATCATGTATTCGATCCATGTTTCAGTAACAAAGTTTTTATTAAAAATAAATTATAACTGCTTTTTTAGTATACATCGAAGCTAAAATTTAATTCTATCAATATGTGACTTGTAATATTTTGTACCTATTTGCTAATAAACATGTATTATCTTCATTAAACTACTATTTTTGGTGATAACGAGATAGCTCTAAATCACAATAAGCTCAGACTATTAAAGTAATATGTTCAGTCTCAGATTTATGATGTCTTAAACATTAAAACAAATAATCATTTGGACTCGATGAAAAAGACATGAATCATTTGTCTACAAAATAAACTTATCTTAAAGTCGTAGTGTGTACATAATAAAAAATAAAAAACAAAATATAAGGGCATAGTAAAGCTCTTCGAGTAGAAAAATTGCCAAATCACTTACATAAGGCAATTATCGCAAATATAATCTTTGGTGACTTCTCCCGTGGCACAGGCCAAACAAAATCGGTTACAACAAGATATACATTTAGTAATGCAATTCGAGAGGAGAGGACCATTGCAACTGTAACATGTAAATGCGCGTTTCACAATCATCTTTAATCCTTTTGATTGTTTCGGTAATCTCGTTTGTTCGGTTTTAGATTTTAAGTCAACAGAAACATTACTCAAAATAGAAACTGTACTTTTTCGCAAGCTTTTTGAAGTGCATGGTTTGCTGTTATTTTTCGAGTTTATTTCTTCTTCAATACTTTTCTTCACTTTTGGTTGCGAAACACATAACACGCTGCTGCTAGACCTTTTTTTAGGCTTATAAGTAAGTTTCATCTCCAAAGGATGAATGGTTAGGTCGACAATACATGGGATCTTCCTCATAGTACTTAAATTCTCTTTAAATGAATCGGCTTGGCTAACTGCATTTGTCTGTGTGTAATCCGCGGGATGTGTAGGGGAAATATGTGGACGTTCCATTACAGTTGTTTCCTCTACAATAATCTCATCATTGGTGGTATTTTGGTCCAACATTTGAATGTCATTTACCAAGTCAGTTTTGAAAACATTCGGCTTATTATCAGCTGTAGAATTTGTGTATGAAATGTTCAGATAATCCATCACTGTTGACTCTTTAACGCTCATCTTATCTTTTGCAGTCTTTGTGTTGTCCACGACTTCAATAACAATGTCACCATTGTTTTGCGTTTTGACCTTTCCGACAGAAAGGAAGTCCACGTCATCCATCGCTGAATCGCCTTGGCTAATATTGGGCTTACCAGTGTTTCCGTTTGAACAACTATTTACCTCGTCCATCGATGAGTTGGCTTTGATAGTATTTGGTTTCGAAGAATCTCCAATGAAAGAAAAGTCCTCGTCCACATTTTCAAGCGCTGAGTTAGTTTGGTTTGGCTTTGTGAGATCACCAATTGATGAAAAGTTTACATCATTCATCGCTGACAGTTCCTCAAGGTTTATCTCAACATCCACATTCATTAAATCTGATGGTTCAATATCATCTAATGTATCAGCTGCTTCAATGCCTCTATTTTCTGTCGTAGGACATTCGAATTTGTGGATTTTTGGTTCGTAACATGAACATAAACCCCTTTGTGACCCACAAAAACATCCCAAGTCTCTGTAAGTAATAGTTCCAGGTTGTTGTGTTGCAATCTGATGTAATTGCATTGTTCCAACTACAATTGATAGCTTTTGAGGCAAAAGAGCAGCAATTTCGTCAATATCTTTCTCAGAGATATACCAAATCTTAATTGTGCACAGAGAGTCCTTTAAAACTTCAAAAGCGTCCGAAGCATTTGAAATATCTCTTCCGAAACAAACATTCCTGTCTAAAACTCTTTTCACTGTGCCTCCTATACCATCCGCCACGCCCTTACCGTGCCCACTTTCAAAAAATGACCACGTACAATGGTCCAAATTCAGTTTTTGCCTAAAAACGCTGAGCAGATAGAAATTGTTTTTTTGGCGATACTGTGAAGTAGGGCCATCGGAATAGAAGTGAATAACAGTAACTTGAGGCTGATGTTCTTTAATGTACTCAAGCACAGGTTTTAAATGGGCCCAGATTGCTTGTGGTTGGTGAACGGTGCTTGGCGACACAGTGCAAAATGATTGGGATGTGTCTTTGAAGTAGATCATGCCGGTATGTAGCGAAATCTGACATTTAGACCCACCAAAGTGCAAACTCTGAATCTCTGAGCTTAGTTTTGATTCGTAGTTCTGAGAAAAGTCACAAATGACTAAAGCTTCATTTTCTTTCAAATACGTAACGCCCTCCTGATATTTTTCTTGTTGGTGGTGTACATTGTAATGGTGTTTTTTGAATAATTTTAAGTCCGCCTTAAATATGCGTAATAGTTCACGCAATGTGCTTGTGATTTTGACTTTTTCTGTTTTTATGCAAACACAAGTCTTCTTTTCAGTCCCGTCCTTTTTCAAATATTCATGTCGTTTTCGCTCCCACTGAGTCCAAGTAACCATTTCGTCTAAATACATACCGGGTTCAAAGTTAAGAGGCTTATTTTTGCATGTTCTGCATTTTCCATGCATGCACAAGGGAGATTTTAGGTCACAGGATAGTTCTTGGAGTACATCTTTTATGTGTCGGTGTTCAGTTAAGCCACTCTTTCTCAAAGCTTTAAATTTCAGTTGGATATTATCGTGTTTAACGCAGAGGCAAGTGTCACGTGATGCAAGATGAGGAGCCAATACAAAAAATGGTTTGTATTTACGGAAAGTTGTTAATTTGTACCTCCCACCTTCACTCCTATATTTAACGTATAAGTTATTCAATTTGTCCAACAAATACCGGATTTGACGCTGTTCTTTGTTTTTGGATCGACATTCCTTCTTGCCAGCGGTGCAACGGCTAACATCGTCTCTGATGAAAAAATTTTCAATTTCAGTTATTCTGCCTTTAGATGTTGTTTTCTTCTTGTACTTGGTTCTTCCTGATAAACCCATTAATTTAGCTACGAAAGTTTTTACTTCAGCGTTTTCTATTATCCCTTTCAGTACTCTCTTTTCTGCTTGTTTCTTGCAATTCTTATACGTCTTTTTTAAAGCAGCTTCTAAAATTTCTTCGCGCGCTTTCATATTATCGATAGTGAGTTTCAGGTTTTTAATTATAGTTTCACTGGCATTTTTTTGTCTATACAATCTTTTTTTCAACCTCTCTTTTATTCTTTGCAGTGATTGTTCGTTTTTTTGAGATTGTTCAATTTTTTTTTAATAATATGTAACACTTTTTTTTTCATGTATTTCAATTTTGACTTTAAACTCGAATCTGACTCTCGACTTTTTCTGCTGAGCGAATTTTCCCTGAATGATACTCCATCCCTATCAATGTTTTCGTTGTCTTTATCTTGGTTCTCATTACTTTTGTTTATTTTTTTATTTTTTCTTTGCCTCTTTTTTTGATCTCGCCATTGTTTTCTTATTTTATCTTTATCGGCATCATCGAGTTGTGATATTTTCTTTCTTTTAGTTTTTATGCGTTGTAGGTCTTTTTTCTTCTGTTGTTCATATTTTTGGGGATTATCTTTAATTTTTTGGCGATAACGGCGCATTTTTTCAGCTGCAGTGAGCACCATATTGAAATCTGAAATTCCATTAAGTACAATTATTTACCTGTTGAATTGATACCTAAATTATATTTCTTACATACATGTATTATTATTTTTTTTTTCAGGAAAAATGAGCCAACAACAAACAAGCCTAACAAAAAATTCAGTAACTTTCTCTATAGAACTACAATAAAACAAAAATTAGTATCTGGAATAGCACACTTTTTCTAGCTATTTTGACTCCAAAACAAAAATAGTAGACCGATTTTGATGAAATTCTATTTGACCAATCCAGAATATAATAAATCTTAAATAAAAAATGATTTTCGAAATAACTATATAAATGAAGGAGTTCAGAGGTACCTAAAAACAATAAATAAAATAATAGAAAAAAATCAAGTTTACACCATGTAAACCTTGCTTTACGTGATCCTGTTCGTGACTTTCAAGTCCGGCCTATACGTTACCACCGCGATGGTAACGGACATGAGGTAACGGAATCGAGTACTTCTTATACAAAACTATAAAATTTCTACAATTGCTGATATTTATCACACATTTTTTCACATTATAGTAATCTTAAATAGTTCATGTAAGTTTTAGACATAAAATATGCGTTGGAAACACGTTATAACACCAAAAAACAAATTAATTTACTCACCGGACAGTGCCCGTAAAAACACAACCTCTCAAAAACGCCGAAAATGAAACAGCTGTTTGAATAAAATGGCTGATTTAACCATAGACATCTTTTTTTTTCTTTTTTCGGTCTCATTATGATGTTGCCGTTTAAATAAAAAAATAAATACCACATTGAACAAAAAAACTATAAATTTAAACGAAAATGCGGTAACGGTACCTGGACATGTCCGGTAGGTTCATATGCCGGGTACAAATTTAAAAATTACTTATTTAGTAGAAATTCTAGCTTTGGCAGCACAATTAACTTAAAAAATAATTAAAATTCCGCCAAATTTCAAATATGTAACTAAAGGTTTGCCAGTGAAATAACTTTTTTTTTCACAAAACGCTGTTAAAAATGCCGGTTTTTTTTAAGGGACAGTACTATACAACAAAATCACGATTTTTTTAAACTTAAATTTTTACAATTCAGTATAATTTCATGCGTAAAATTTTAATAAATATGACATGCCTATTTCATCTAAAATCAACTAATATGGTAATGATTCTTGTAAAACTTATCAAAGTCGCACAGCAGTACGATATAACCTGGGGACATGTAGAAAAGTCCAATGTACATCTTTTCGCGTTCTTGCCCAGACATCAATATCCTATTTCCAAAAATTTTATGAATTGATGAAAAAATTTGCTCCTCGATGTCGCAGTATAACTTCACGGTTCTCGCTATAGGCACAATGATTAGCATTACATCGAAGAGGGAGCATGTACAATAGAGCCTACCTTACATAAACGGGTGATTTAAGGTTAGTGTTGCCGATCATTCTCTATTTTTATTTTCTTTTGATTTTTGCTAAAAGTTAATTCTGTTTACTAATTATAGGTAGAATCAATATACAGTGTTTCAAAAATATGTAAGTAGTACATTAGTATATATCTTATTAGGTTAATAGTAGTTCATTAACTTCCTAAGATATTAAGATAAGACATTTTTTATTATATTTTAAATCGCTTTATTTTGCGTTTTGTCTTTTTCTAGTTATTATAATCAGTTTTTTATATAATTTTATGCTATGTATAAAATATTACGCAAAAACACACAAAAAACTATAATAAACTTAAAATTGATGAGTTGAATTTCTTTTTCATCACACAGTCTTTACCATCGAACCAAGCGGACATACGAGTGGCCCTCTCTTTAAAAGATAAGACACAAAGTAATTTACGCAAAGGATTTTTAAACTGTTAGCTCTATTAAGGAGTTTTATAGCATGAAATGACTTTGCTAATACCCTGATTACCATCTACGCTTCCATACCACCGTGATGATGTACGTGGGTCGTCAAGGCAAGTGTTACGTACGAATTCGTAGAGGCCCTAGGGCTAATAAAGTGCAGAATCAAAGTAAATTTTCTTAGCTCCGCAGAATATTTTCTTTCTGCAGTCTCTACTAATTAATCTTTTAAAAAATCGTTATTCTCAGAACCAATAGTACCGTTAACGTTACCGGTACGTTTTGTTGAATTCATTATATATTTATGGAATTCATTGAGCTTGAACTATTAAGAAAATCTGTTCTGTTAAGAAATAAAATGCTTATGAATTGTAACAGTAATATTGAATTATAAAATATTTTTAAAAGTACCGCCATGAATGTGTACATAGGTTGCTTGGTAGATTTTATTGAAATTATTAAGATTTATGGATGATTTTATTGTTTTTATTTTATTCAAACAAGTATGTACAATCTCTTTATGAGAATATTCATAAGAAGTTATGTCTTGATATTAAAACAACTATGTTGGACGTTAAAAAATGTAATTATTTTTAAAACGCTTAGTAAGTATATCAATGTAGCAGCGACGCGTCAACTCGCGACAATTTATGCCTGCTACTGACCTTCAATTATGCAAGGCTTCCTTTTGTTTTTTTATAACATATTTTATAGCAATATCAAGCGAGACACGATAAAGAATATAAATAAATTTTGAGTGTTTGATTTTTTTTATTCCCATTCGACTACTGTCATGGACCAATCTATACACAAGCATTTTATAAGCCCCGCACGTTGATATTGCGATGGAACCTTGTCACAATAACAGCTGCGTGACGTCATCCACCGCAAAAAAGTACAGACAACAAAAACGTTAATCTTCTTTTCGTGTGAGGTGTTGCCACCTCTGGTGAAAAATGTTAATAGCCTTGGGTTATAGGTATTTATATTATATTATATACATATATTTATAGGTATTTAATTATAAATATTTTCTTTCTCCTTTACAAAATAATTATCCACTATAACAATCATTTCACGAGCACGGCTGTTAATTACTTTGTTACTCATTGTAACAGAATAAGTAGGATAACAATAATAAAAATTTACAACAAAAATAAAACAGGATAACGAAAATAAAAAGCTATAAAAACACGTGGTAGAGGTACTCTATACGCGTAAGCGCTGGCTGACCTTGCGAACGGTACTGACAGTTCGACTACGTCACTAAGATGGTCGCCAGTCGCAATATAAACGTGCGGGGCTTATAAGCTTAGCAGTAATGATTAAAATTAATATTAGTAATGTAAATAGCATTAATAGTATATTCTTTAATTAAAAAATCTGGCCATCTATATTAAAAATGATCCTTCTGTCAGACCAACGAAGACAACTAGAAGGAGCAATACGCACATCTCAAATGTCGCCAAATCCAAATGCTTAAATTATTGTAAGAACACATTCATGCTTACAGTTGTACCTCAAATAATTTACAACCAACAACATTGTTTTAGACCATAGATGTGCGTCGAGCAGTGGAATTTTACGGGCTTTTAAATAAATAAAAAGAATGTGTTCCCGTGAGTGCGTGTCAAGATATCATGGTTTCTGCATCGCTTGAAATATACGCCTATATTTCAAGTGATAGATAGATATATAACTATTCATAAGTAATATGTATTTATTGGCGCTTTTAAAGTATACAAAAATATACCTTTTTGCTGAGTAAAATAAAAAATATGGGACTTACTGAACAGGAACGCAGGTGTTTCTGAACCACTGATTCTTCATTCAGTTCCGAAGGACCATTGAACAGGAGCGAAGCGTCTTCTGAACGTCCACTGTAGTAATCCGGCGAGTTTTCCAGATCTTACTCGTCGACCTACCAAGCCTTTGCCCTTGCCTAAGCCACACTACGTTGGGTTCGAATCAACGCAATGGGCGTATCCCTCGATAACGTTATATTCAGAAACATACACCCCCTGTCTTAAAAGAAAGGTGGTTGTGCCTAAGATTACGGGTCCTACGTTTGGTCCCGGTCTAGACACTAGAATATGTGGACTGTATATTAAAGCGGGGAATTCACTTGACGGACTTGCCCACGGGCATGTCTGCAGACATGCCTGCCGGACTTCGCTACTATATAGGTCTGTGCAAAGTTTTGATAGTGTAGTACCGTCGCAGTCGGTCTGGCAGATTTGCCTGAGAACGTCCGCGCGATTTCGTTTTGTCTGCGCGGGCACAGACATGCCCGACCGTGAATGTTAACTGCGTGCTGTCTGTTCACAGACACACGAGCAACAGAACCAGTGCAGATGACCTTTTATTATTATTTAACGAACTTTGGAGATTTTTAATTTGCAATGAGTTTTAATGATAATAAAATATTTAGAGTAATTTAGAGATTAGTAGATATAGAGTAGAGTTTATTTGACTCTATACACGCAAGTAATTGTACAACTCTCCTGGTTTATCAATTTCTAATTCTTTATGTAAATTGATATGGCTAAACGTATTTCTTTTTTTGTAGCATTCTTTGCACCAAATTAATAATAAACGAATAAAAGGCATTGTAAGTCTAGGTTGTCATCTTAATATGCACGCACAATTAATCACGTAGCCGGTCTAAAACAAACTGTGAGTCTGTGTAGTGTATTGCGGCGACAAACATGCCCGGACAAACAGCCCGTGGGCACGTCCGTCTAGTGAATTCCCCGTTAACTTTACTTTCCCTCTAACTTATAGGGTTGACACTGGGAATGAAACAGCAATTATTCTTAAATGCCTTAAGGAATGTGATAACTTTTCACTATTTTCTTTCTTGAGTATAACTGGTATCGAACTGATGATATCGAACTTGTATTGAACCGTTGGTATCGAACAAATTGCGAGCTCCGTGTCGTCCTCTGCGTGGGCTTTCTGCCCAGCAGGTCTCGGGCTTCGGGGTATGCCCCTTTACCCGGGCATTCTTCAAGGCCCACTACAATGGGCCGTGAAGATAAGGCGATGTCAATTTATAAGCGGTTATTTGCCGCAATCGGTTAAATTTGTCACTGTCGGGAGATTGTAATAAAGGGTGGTTATCTAATGTTATGTCTAAGTTGGCCTTTCAGTG